CATGAGACAGCGTAGATGGTTGGAGCTGGTCAAGGACTACGACTGCACCATTAGCTATGACCCTAGGAAAGCTAATGTGGTAGCCGATGCCCTTAGTCGGAGGAGTTATGGCCAACTATCTTGCTTGTTTACCGGGCAGGATGTTCTTCTTCGGGAGTTCGAGCGATTACAGCTGGAGGCAGTGGAGTCGACTTCGACAGCCGGGGGCGTATTAGCCTCTTTGGTTGTAGGACTGACTCTTCGAGAGAGGATAGTCGCCGAGCAACAGAATGACCATTTCTTATGCCGGATGAGGGAGTTGTCCGAAGCCGATAAAGTTGGTGGATTCGCAGTCGCATCTGATGGAGCCTTGGTCTTCGAGGGTAGACTTTGTGTTCTGAAGGTGTGGGAACTGCAGAGAGAGATTTTGAGAGAGGCCCATAGTGCTCCGTACACCATCCATCCTGGTAGCACTAAGATGTATCAGGACTTGAAGAAGTCTTTCTGGTGGCATGGCATGAAGTGGCAGATAGCGAAGTTCGTGGATGGGTGTCTGGTGTGTCAGCAAATGAAGGCTGAGCATCAGAAACCGAGAGGGTTGTTGCAGCTCCTTGAGGTTCCCCAGTGGAAGTGGGAGTGCATCACCATGGAATTCTTGGTTGGACTGCCGAGATCGAGGGTCGGACATGATTCGATATGGGTGATAGTGGATCGCCTTACGAAGTCTGCCCATTTTCTGCCAGTCCGGACGACCATAAAGGCGAGTGATTACGCCGAATTGTTCGTCAAGGACATTGTAAAGCTTCATGGAGTGCCCGTGGAGATTGTGTCTGATCGAGATCCCAAGTTCACATGTCAGTTCTAAAGGACATTGCACCGAGCCATGGGGACGATATTGGAGTTCAGTACAGCCTTTCACCCCGAGACAGATGGTCAGTCGGAGCGTACGATCCAGTACTTGGAGGATATCTTGAGGGCTGTGGTCTTGGACCGGAGCTTGACCTGGGAGTATGCTCTTCCGCTAGTCGAGCTGACCTACAACAACAGCTACCACTCTTCGATCAAGATGGCCCCGTACGAGGCTTTGTACGGACGTAAGGTCCGGACTCCTTTGTATTGGGATGAGGTTGGAGAGAGGAGGATTACGGGCCCAGATTTTGTCCAAAGTACTACTGCGACAGTTGAGGAGATTCGGAGGACTATCAGGTCGGCCCAAGAGAGGCAGAAGGTCTATGCCGATCGGAAGAGGCAGGAGCATGTTTATGCAGTGGGAGATCATGTCTTCTTGAAGGTTTCACCCATGCAAGGTGTGATTCGCTTCGGGAAGAAGGGGAAACTTAGACCTTGCTGTATCGGGCCGTTTGAGATCCTCGATCGAGTCGGGAACTTAGCTTATCGGTTGGCTTTACCACCAGACTTGTCGGGAGTGCACGACGTGTTCCATGTCTCGATGCTTCGGAAATATGTGCATAACCCCGATCATGTGGTGGACTTCGGCGAGCTGCAGGTCGAGCGAGACCTTACCTACGAGGAGTTACCGGCAGCCATCTTGGACCGGAAGGTCCACCAGCTGAGGAACCGGGCAGTGAGCTTAGTGAAGGTGCAGTGGAGCCGACACGATGAGACTGAGTCCACTTGGGAGAGGGAGGACGATATTAGGAGGCGTTATCCGAACTTTGAGTTCTGAGT